CTGAAAAAGCACGATGTGAACAGGTTGGTGCTCCTAGGTATGTGGCAGCACGCGTGTGTATAGGGACCGTTCAAATTCACACGCCCAAAAGGATTTCCTCAATCAGCATTTGAAATAGAACTTGCCATACGAACTTGAATTGCCCTTGTTCCGCTAGAGGAGAAATAAAACTCAAACATACCATCATTAGAATGTTGGAAAATTAAAAAATTTTGTGCACTAGAGTGACAAAAGATAAAGAAATACAACAAACATATATGGGATGTGAGTGATGTCTTATTATCAGACAAAAAGCAGGGGATTCCGGGCAAGAATCGCTTCCTTCAAAGTCAGGACTGACTTGAAGTGCTTGTGTGGTTTCCTGAGAATACGATCAAGTGTTTGTAAAGAAACATTGAAAGGTTTCTTTTCAAGCCATAGGCTTAAGGTGGCTAATCTTCAACCGAACATCGATTTCTTAATATAAGACCGAGTGTTGGAAGAAATACTTGTGAGACCGATGTGGTCTGTTGAACAAGTAGATAGGATATATTTTATAATGACAAAAAAATTATAGAAATCTCAAAAACAAAAATAAATTGGATCTTTTATGGGAAGAAAATCCTTGGTTTTAGACGAATTCATAAAGACCTCGCAAAAGAAAAAGAGATTTCAGTAGGTAACAGTAAGATCTTGAATATAACAATTCACTGTCAATTCATTATAGGTGTTGAATTTGGGTTTCACTCAGCATGTGGTATACGTATCTAAGATCATAAACACTGTGACATCCCCAATTTCACGGCCAGAAAAGACCGATTCGTTTATGCTTTGTTTTAAAATCAGAGTAATCCTTTTTAAGGAAAACAATTGTGGAATTTGTTCCCAAAACAAAATATGATAACAATTTATCAAAACATTTCTCAAAGAGAATGTATTTTCATTAAATAATAAAACCTCGGGATGTCATGTTCCGATACAGACCAAAAGCATAAACAATATAAAATAGACCTTACAACAGTTATTTATAACTACTGATCTATAACCCAAAACCTCTCGTCAAGTCCACCAACTTATACTCTTGTGCCATTACCTGTAATGCAAAGAAAACTGAGTGGGTCGGGCTTGGGAGCCTGGTGAGCATATAGGGTTTTCAACCCACAATAAATAATTAATTTAATTTCATCAACCCATAATAACCCAATTACCCATTCCCGTTATTCTCACTTTACATTCCTAAGACAACTAAACTCAAGGGACCTAGTCTAAGAATATTTCATCGGGGCGACAACACATGCTTCGGGGGTTCCTCGGCAATATAAGTCAAATAAGGCAACCACGAGGGGGATGAAATACAGCGAATGAACACCCAAGTTCATGAACACCTACAGATTATGAGTCTGCTAGCTTTCCACTGGACTGTTTAGAAAAGTCTGTGGTCGTCATCTAAATTCCGCTAGATGACTGGATTATAATGACATCGAGGCCTCTCATCTGTTTACCACATAACTATCTACCCATGTTCTACCCATCATATTAGTAGATAAAAATATATATATTTTTATACATAGTTTAAAACCTTTATAGCATTCTCATTCAATACATATTCCAAACAACAAATGAGGCACATACACATAACACGTATTTCATAGAGAATAAATCATATCTATGAGATAGAAGAAAGTGAATATACATTCACACATATAACCACAAAATATACACCTAACACGTATTTCGTATAAAATACTTCATAATTATGCGTTAGAAGAAAGTAACCACACACTCACACCAAACATATACTTAATACATTCAAACAATACTTGTATTAAAATCTTGTTCATGAAAGGGACTATACACTCACGCATATAAACAACAATATATATACACATAGCACATATTTTATAAAATAATTCATATCTATGTGTAAGATGAAAGTGACTATACACTCACTTGATTAGAAGATGATCAGACAGAACTACGGCTCTTCAAGTAGATATTCTTCGGTGAAACCAGGATCACTTCACACACCGGGTTTCTCGCAGGCAGAGCTTCGGCTCGGAAACTCTTTTCTCTTGGGATCTTCGGGATTCGGGACTCGCTTCGGGTCTCGGGGTGATACCAGGGCTTCGGGGGGTTAAAATTACACGTAAAACAATGTAATATGCGAGAGAGATGAGAGAATGAGCAACCAAACTCGGCTGGCCCTTCAAACCTATTTATAGGAAAAAACTGGCCCTTTCCACATCGTGGAACCTTTTGCCACATCGTGGGCTTGGTCGTCACTGCATGCGTCATCTCAAGTTGCATCTGGGGGAATCCCGGAGGTGTTAGAAGGCTTGCCACGTCGTGACACTGCTCGCCACATCGCAGTCTCTGACAGTTTTAGGGTTTCGTGCCCCGAACTTCAGAAATTCATAACTTTCGCATACGAACTCCGTTTTCGACGTTCTTTATATCGACGCGAAGGTGAGATTATGCTCTACAACTATCGTTTAGACTCCATTGGCTAATTTTGAATTTAGTTTTAATATATTATAAATATATTACTTATATATTATCTTTAGTAGGCCGGGACAGGAAAAACTCCGTTCGAAATTCATAACTCCTTCATCTGAACTCCGTTTTCATCCGTCTTTCCGTCGTTGCACTAATATCGATGAGATCTTCAATTATCATTTAGATTACTAAGGATAGATATCTATCTACCTTAAATTCACTATTTACGTCACGCTTGGTCGCGCTGGGTCATGCCGATTCTGTCGCGAAACTTCGACAGGTCATAACTTCTTCGTTATAACTCGGATTTTGGCGTTCTTTATATGCACGGAAACCTTGTGAAATATACTAAAACTTGGTTAAGATTAATCCTTCTAAATAATATTCCATCAAAAATTCATTTTTGATGCTTATCGTCTCTAATTTGACTAGCCCGGATCTACGGGCGTTACAAACACAGATTTGATGTAACCATAAACCTTAGTGGTAAGAACCGAGAGTCTCAAGGGTTAAAGTTGTGAACCGATAGTGGATGGAGAATGAAATGGATGGTGAAAGAACTGAGAGTACCTTCTGCTATAAAAACATAACAAAGCAGAGAAACTCTTAACTCATATGATAAGAGTAAGGTAGTTGATGTGTGTAAAACCAACTAGTTTTAAACCTACTTTTAATTATAAAATAAACTCTCAAAGGCAGTGGGCCTATGAATTGTGGTAAATTTAAATAAGTAGGGTATCGAACACAGGGAACGGTAAATTAAAACTAAAAACTAATTTTATCTAAATTAATTAATAAGTAGGGG